TTACAATTTTGATTGGCTAAACTAAACATGCATGATCGGGATCATCATTTCTTTATTTGGGACGGTCCTACCTGTAGACGGTCTCACCTGTAATTCTCTTGTCATGAGTGAGAATCGATCCTTCCGATTGACCTGATCGACTAGGCCCACATAGCACTTGCAAAAGGTCCGTAACTACGTGATTTTCGTGATGATAGCAAGAAAAATTTTTGAAATTTTAAATTTCAATCAATAGTGTTCAAAATCTAAAATTGTCGGTAATCAAAAAATCTTCCGGAATTTGATTTATAAGCTAATTGATCTTCTGATTAAAAAATTATTACATGAAATTATTATATGACGAAAATTACATAATCATCGTAGAATGATGAACGAAACAGTTATGATTTCATTACTGAAAATTTGGTGAATTACCATTCATTGAACATCCAAATAAGGATAGCTGCGGCATGATCAGTATGAGCAAACCATTAATGTTCGACATTGATATGAAAAACTGATACAGTAAGATTTTTTTTTAGTAAACTTTAATAAATACAGGTTAAAAGTATTGTGTATAAAAATTATAATATATCACTAAATAACTAGTATGATTCTGATTTGAAGCGTTGGTGCGTGACTTACACTAACGTGATCCTACCTCGTACTAGGGATGGTAAAAAAATTTTTTTTTTTTAACTAAAACAAAAACGTTTTAAAACGAGTTTGGGACCGAAATTATTGTTACTTAACAATCTTCGGCCGACAAGCCTCATGCGCCATCCAAGGATTTTTCGGAAATGTCACTTTTAGCCCGTGATAATACTCCGACTTTTTTGTATTTTATAAATAATTTACAAAATATGCAGAATAAAAAAAAAAAAAGTTTTTGATAATCTAATCTGTAAAGTTATTATAAAGTTGCAATGTACTTAAAAAAATGCTTCTTATTACTATCAAAAATTTTTTTTTGTTATAATGTAAATACATTTAAATAAATTTATTAAGTATTTAAAAAAAAGGTTTTTGACGTACTTATTACTAAAGCAAAATAAAATAATAAAAGAAGCTATTCTAAAACTCTAAAGCTTTTTACGAATTTTACTATATATTATTAGTAGGGTATACAGTATATTGTAAAAATACTAATCTGATTTCAAAGTTATAAGCAAAAATGAATAACATCTTGGATACGCTAGTGAATTTAATGACGAAGATGTTATATGTTCAAGTTAAAAAAATCACGTGTCTTGGTAAAATTTATGATCTACTGACGTATGCGCTTTGCAAATCCATTATTTTCTTTTTGTTTCTATCGCTTATCGTTTATGGTGTGAAAGTCTGTCAAATTTGAATCAATAAAAATATATTCCGTTATGCTGTGCCTGCAGAGCCCTAATAAGTAACTAAAGACTATTTTGGATAACAATAATAAATTTTTTCGTCAATCAAGTCATTTTGGTAAACCTATTAAGGAACAATTACATTCTACGATTAACTAAAGGTCATTTTGGGTTACCATATGGTTCTACGATATGTTAACAGAATGCGTATATCTTTGACACCTATTTTTAAAATGGGATTGAAGTTGAAAATGATGAAATGATTAAAAAAATTCCGAGAATATGAATAGAAAGTATGAAAATATCAAAGCTATCATATTGTTTTTTTTGCATGAATCTGCATTTGTGCATTTTCTGTTGTAATTGTTGAGGAGACATTTTTTGTATCTATTCCGGGACCCATCCCTTTAAACATAAAAAAAATAGGTTATTTAACGTTAATATAAGATTATATAAAACAAATGTAATAATTCTTTTTTTTACCTCTTTGTTGACACCAAACTTTTTAACCATTCCTTGAATTTCCTTATGTTGAACAAAAAGCTTTTCAACCTCTCTAACAGATGTACCGGAACCTTGAGCCACACGCAGTACACGAGCAGGCTGTTGTATAAAAATTTTACCATCAGAATCAAGCTCCGATTCACTCATACTGTCCATTATAGTCATCATTCTGTAAATTAAATAAATACAATTCAATAAATATAAATATTATTATCACAAAATAAATACCCTTTAATTCGTTGTGCACCTAGTTCGTCTGAACCTTCAAGGTTCATCTCTGACATACCTGGCATCATTTGCATCATTTTCGACAATGGACCCATTTTAGATATGGTTTGAAATTGTTCATACATATCTCTGATAGTAAAAATACCTAAATGTGTATACGTATTCAAATCACGTATTAACATTAAAAAAAAAAAAGACAGCCTCATAAATTTATTAAAGTTTATAACTAACCCTGCTCCAAATTTTTCAGCAAATTCTTTATTCTGTTCTAATTTTAAGTCATCTACTTTTTCAATGAGACCAGTAAGATCACCCATACCTTTTTAAAAATCATTAATGTAAAAAAAAAATAAATATAATAATTATGGTAGAGAATTTAAAAAATATTAACAAAAAAATAAAAGACCAAACTAACCCAGCATTTTTTGTACAAATCGCCTAGGTTCAAATCTTTCCAAATCATGAATATTATATAATCGAACCAATATCAGCAGCTTCATGAAAAGCTTTTGCCTGAGATTCAGATTTGTTTCATCCATTACGAAAATAGTATTATCAGGATTCTAAAATTAGGAGATAATTAATATTAAATTAATAATACTATTACTGCTATAACATTATTATTATTATTTTTTAAGATAACTTACAACTACAGCAGAAATTTGTTTCATTTCTTCAAAATAATTCAGTTTCTTGTTTATGTCTCCCAGAAGTATCTACAATAATTATTTCAAAACCCTCCTTTTTAAAATTTTCAACGCCTTCATGGGCTATTTGAACAGGATCAGTTTCAGTGTAACTATTATAAATATGAAAATAATTTAACAATAATAAATAATAATAATAATAATAAAGTTAATAATAATGATAATAATAAAGGATTGATACAAGGCTCTGAAACGAAGCATCTGACTAACGAACCTTCCAATATACTTTAGTAACATTTTGTTTCAATTGATCAAATGTACCAGCACGAAATGTATCAGCACATACTAGACATACTTTCCAACCTTTACGTTGATAATGATATGCCAACTATATTGTATATGGATGATGGTTAAATTTTTACGGAATTATTACAAGAAAATAATAATAATAATAATAAATGATATTATTAGAATAAAGCTTGTATGAATCAAGAATTCGGGAATAATTTAGACATTAACGTACTTTTTGTATAACTCTCCTCTTATTAATTCCAGCGGCAAGATCTTGAATATTGACTGCAGTCTTTACATTATTTCTCAAACTTCCGACCAGGCGAACATTTCCAAAAGTGCATGACAGATGTCTTTCAATACAGCATCAAGTACCTTTGAGTAATTGTAAAGAATTATTTATAATGATATAGATCAAAGAACTGAGAGCATACCGATTTTAGCTAGAGCAGCATTGATCCGACGGCCGAGTCGAATAACGAAACCAAAATTCGAATTTTTTTTTTGTACTTACAGGATGTTACACGAGAGCGGACATGATGTCATGTGAAAATGTTAATCATTTATCTATTTTATTGGCGAAACCCATAAACCTATAAATATTATTATGCGGCTTCATGGATCAGTTTCATAAACAATTTACAACTAAGAAAAGCAATTGACCAATTAATTATGCGGTTTCATAAACGGTTTCATAAGCGGTTTCATAAGCGATTCATAAGTAGATTATAGCTAAGGCAATCAAATTACCAATCAAATACATCAATTTGACTACGTATTTCTGTACTTTACCGGAGATCACGCAATATCACATAAATGATTGGATTAAATTTTATAAATTTTTTAAAAAAATCCGCCCATATGTAAAGGTATAGTGTCACAGGCAAACTGAATCTTTCATTCAAGGACTTTCTGCCAAGGTCCATTTTTGGCAGTGCACTTTTTGAATTCTTCGCTTACTTTTTAAGGGCCTTCAGAAACCACATGACATTTCAAAATGCTTAAATATTGAGATAATTATCAAAATTTAATCCTCATCGAACTTTTAGTAAATTAATATCATATACTTAGATTATCAGTTATTTTTATTACTTTTACTGTATTTTTTAAAATAAATTTATCGTTATCATTTGATATTAGCGATTTTTCTTTTTTAAAAATATTTATTTTATTAAATATTCACATTTTAATATTTTACAGATTAAAATACATGCGAAAACTTTTTAACTAATCTTTATTAATCAAAAAATAAACTATATAGAAGTTCGAACATATTAATTATTCAAATTTAATAAACTTTATTTATCGTTAAATTATTAAATATTATACAAAAAAAAAAAAAAAATAGAGATACTTAGTTTCAGAGATTAAATCCCTTACTTGTCCCAACCACCGCGTAGAGGTGTATCTCTTCG